CGACTGGTCAGTAATATTTTCGCTTAGATTAGCTTCAGCCAAACAATGTTTCGGTGAGAGTATATTCGAAAATATGAAAAGTATGCTGGTTTGCGAATAGACCGATGGATGCATCAACGAATAAACGATCCATAAAAACATTTTGCACGCAATCGCTAAAAATCGTCCGTTTAGAGCAGAATTTATGACCGGAAAGCATCTGAAAAAGATTGATTATAAATGGACGATGTTCCGACACGCTTCATCCATCATTATGGTTCATTACTGGTGATGAAGATACTGCTTGTACTTGATTGTTCGAATGAAAATCAATTATACAAATGAGTGATTGTATTGAGTGCATTTTATCGAAGAATTTATTGGTTATTTTCTCTGTATGGAAATCGGATTTTCTCTTATATTCACTATTCGCATCGCAAACTTGAAGCATTGCTCGAGATTGATTCATGAGTTTGTTATATTTCATTATGTTCTAAGTTACATTCTTCTCATGGCTCTATCTTATGCTGGGTTTAAGCAATGAGGAATCATGTGTCCATTCGTCTGTGATTGCATTTATAAAGGCACACTCTCTTCTCGATGAAATCGTCAGAAATCTCATGAAATCGCCAGAAATCTCATTTGTTCTCGGTGTTTGAGTCTATCACTTGTGATGTATCATAGATGGGATGAAAAGATGGATCACTAGCAAATTAGATCAGTGCTCTACCATTGTAGTAGGCATTTGTTCATCGTGATAATCCTCAATATATCAAAATGTTGTTTGTGTTCGTTCGTAAACACAACGTTGTGTTTGTGTGTTCGAAGAGCAAATTCGATTTTGCTTTTAAAGGCAAGCATTATTCTTTCGAGTGGCCACAAGCATTTGTTCATAGTAAATAAGCCTTCTCCGTGGAACCGTATATGTAAACTCAAAATGTATCGCACTTTGCCTATCATGCCGACTACGATGTGAAACTTCTTAATCCATCCTGCTTCACTGAACATGTGTATTCTCCCGTGAGCGATTCGCTGGCTTGACTGAAAATTTGGTTTTTGGTTTGCGTTGTGGTGATTCTCCAACAAATTGACTGTCCATTCGAAATTTTTTTTTCTTGGAATTCTCAAAAATCACACTATTTTTATCAATCTTCCGAAAATTATCAGCATGTCACCGCAACGAATCACAATACTAGTGTTGCACGTCCCGTACTTTCAGTAGCTCTGTTTGATTCTCATGTGATATCTTACCTAAAACGCTAAGAATTCGCCATGTTTTGAGTTTTACTCACTTGTAACGCGTTATCGGAATAGTGAAATTTTTGTTAACTTACGCCGTGTTAGCACATTATGGCATCATCGAATACAATGCGGAACTCTGATATATACGCGAACTGAATTCTGTCTGCACTGACAATGAAGTTTTCCGCATTGAACAGTGATCGTGAAACTAGGAGAAAATGGCCACAGAGATAACGCTAAACGATCGTACACCAGCGATACATCGATCGTTCTCGCTGCGACGAAAGAAGTCGATTGGTTCATGTGATTCCAGTGCTTCAACTTCAACCAATAACAATGGTCGAATCCCATTGCCGGGTTTCGTCATTCTGCTTGCGTCTGATTCTCAACGAAGAATCACCCTTTATGGTGTGTTAATATTATGGCCTGTCACAAGACACACAACCAACCAGGCACCACCCGTTCCGTGTCAAAACATGTTCCGTGCCTCACAAATAGCTCACTCAAAAAAAATGTCTGTCAATGAAACTAGTTCACTGATAAACTCATCAAGTTACGAAATAATCTCACAATCAGCTAAAAAAATAATTTTTTGCAGGAACAGCAGCTGATCGTGCAGGATTGTGTATCGGTGACGAGATTATTGAGGTGAACGGAACACCTGTCGAAGGCAAAGAACATGCCGAAATTGTACGACTCATTCATAAAGTAAGTGCATGAAGCAATAAAAGCCAAACTTTGATAGTTCCGAGAACTTTCATTGAAAAGTTCGAATTTATTCTGCTGATTTCATTTTCTCATATATTGCTTCTTAAACTCTAGTGCTTCAGTTACAATTCATTAGAATTATTATTCATCAATAGGAAAGAAATCATCAGTCTTTCATCGTCTTCTTCATTCTTATCCTAAGGACTGATAACATCGTCGACCAAATCTCTTATCAGCATCCACTGCATAAGTGATGAACAAGGTATTTGTGTGGGAAGGATTAACCTGCCTTGCACTTTCTCGTCTTTGCTTACAATCATAGTGTGGTGATGTATGGAACTGATTTGAATCATTCAGCATGACTGAATTTATTCACGATGTTGAAATAAAACAAATGAATAATCAAGTCGAATTAGTGCGTGTAACCTTGAACAAGTTGCGAATTTCCAACCTGATTGATGCTTTCTTTCATATGAATAATCGCTAATTACAATCCGTTGATGTAGTTGTCAATTCCGTCGTAACATTAGTTAGTTATTTGTGACTGCACTGACTTGTTTGTGCAGTGAATTCGTATTGAATTAATCCTTTTGATTCTTTTTTTTCTTTAAATGTTCACATCTCAAAAGGCTATTGGGACATTTATTCTGAGCATCTGACGGTATTGGCTAACATTCACTTATGGCTTCACGTGAGTGATGATTGATCAGTGAATTGGTCACTGTTCGTGTCACCTGCCAGTTTCCAGCAGCAGCACTATGGAGTCTACCAATAGCTTCCAATGCAAAATCCCTCAGAACACATTCCTCGCATCCATATGAATAACATGCTGATCACATGAGTAATATGCTGCGTTCATCCTACTAAATTCTGACGCAATGAAGAGATGGAATCGCAATTTTGTTGTCGTCAAATCAGATTCAGTGTGTAATGCGACATCTATCAAGATCGCCGACTACCCCAGATTTGCATCGCTGGCTATTCCTGCCGCAAGCGATGCGCATTTTGAGGTGAACATTTGCTTATGTCATTCCAAGTTTCTGAGTGCTTTTTGGGAATCAATAGTAGCCTCCAGAATCCGCAAATTGCGTGCTTTTGTACCGTTTCGTAGTTTGATTTTGTCTGATTGTGAACGTTCCCCTCCGCTCCATCTTGTAAGCAGCATGGTATTACTTTTAATGTGACAGTAGCAGTAG